CGTGAGTGGACCTAGCATCGCGGCTGAGCAACAAAGCATTTAGTTGTTAGGTAGTAATGTTGTGTAGTGCACTTCAACTTTGTGAGTCCAGGCTTATAGATTAAGTGGAGCGAAGGCAGGAATTTCGTGAGCTTTTCTGCTCTGGCAGCTCAAGACCAAGGGCCTCGCTGTACTACTCTAGACTCTCGAAGTTTTGAGAGTGGGTCTTCGCTGCACTTACGCTCGATTGGGAAACTCTCAAAACCCGATCGAGAGCTGTAAGAAGCCATGCTTTAACGCTATGACCAACCATTTTCTGTAATTGCGTGACTTTCTGCGCGAAGCTGCCTTGGAGAAATGGATGGGTCGGATGCATGAGTTGTGGAAAGATGGGTCGGTCAGGCAAATTGCATGGATGTCCTCGTTTCTTTTTGTTTTCTGTGGGAATCTGTCGGGTCAGTGTTGGGAAAGTCCCGCGCCAACGATTGGGTAACCGCGCCTTAGCGAGCGCGACGAACAACGGTGGCCATGGCTTCTTTCTTGTTCTGCTGAGAGCACTAGGAATTTTTGGCGCAACCATCGTGGGGGAATATCGTTTTTGAATTTTCAATTGACGACGAGCCCCCATAGGCTCGCGGAATTGTTTTTGGGCTTTTCGAAATTTCCTTTTTGCAATTAGGACTTAGGCTAGGGATTTATGTACTCTGAATTTTGCTGCGCCACCCTTCTCACTCGCGCGCATCTTGTGGCGCTAGGAACTGGGCTCTGACTGGATCGCGCCCTTAATCTTGTGTAACTGTCGTTTTGGCGGGCGCGATTGTAACAGTATCTTTCTTCTTTCTTGGTTTTCTCGTGTTTGCCCGCCTTCTTCTTCTTGCATGCTTAATGCTCCGTTCTAATTGGCCTGAATGCCTGCACGACCGGATCGATGCGTGGAGTGCGGCTACGACCCCCATGCCGCGGCCTGGCCATGCAGACGTGGGCACTTCCTCTCTTCTCCTCCTGATTGCTTGGGCTTTATCCCGTATCTTTCGAGCAAGCATGCATGCTATAAATTTGGCAAGCGCGATAAGTTTGCTCTCTATGAACCTTGAAGTAAGCGCAATTAGTAAGGGTCGGCTAATGAGTCAGCTTGAGAGGTGAGTCGACGAGAGAGTTGGGCGATCCGACGAGCTGGTGCCGGGTCTGCAGGGTTGACGTGCGGGCCGCGACGGACTGTGGTGCATGGGCGAACCTGGCTTGCATGCTCGAACCAAGCGGGGTGACAACTCTGTGTTGATGCATGGCGATGGAGTGCCCGCATCGGGGAATGGAGAGAGAGAGAGAGAGAGAGAGAGAGAGAGAGAGAGAGAGAGAGAGAGAGAGAGAGAGAGAGAGAGAGAGAGAGAGAGAGAG